AATTCGTAATTGACTCACTCATTGTCGAACCCTCGATAAGATTATCGAAGAAGTTCCAGACTATAAAGAAGTACTTTATATTGCTTAGTTAAGTTTATAGAAACTTTTTGTTTAACAAATCATTGTTTGTAATAACTATTTGTAATAACTGTTATTGTAAATTGTATTGTTGTGTGTATATTAAAACGTATTTGTGTTAAAAAAGAAGAAGAAAACTTTGTATCAATCTTGTTGGCAAATATCATAAACGGACTACATATCGGCTTTTACTTAACTGGTAAATCCATAGTACAATTTAACTCAGTTTTAGGATATTAGAAATTGTAATATGTAACAAGATATCTTCAGTTTGGGTGTGGGTTTTTACTGTCTGTTGGTTTGTGTTGGTACTCGCTTGAGGTTTTGGTGTTTGGTAACAATGGTGTTTTTCTTTGTGACTAAGCTTCTGCATTGGCGATCAAATCAGCCGCTTTCGAAATGAGCATGCATGAAAACAGGCGAGAAATGGAATACCAAAACGACTTCTCATGGCTGGGTGAATTTCTGGTTTTCAATTTACTGTCAAATTCAAAGAGCAATTGTAAAACCAAGTTTGGCTGGATGCCAAAAATGTGAGTGGATGAAAAAAAAAAAGAAAAAAAGAAGGCGGTAAGTACAAACTTATAACTAACCGAGTAGCCACAAATATCAAACTTAGTAAGGGTAGACACTGACAACACACTCAACATTATTAACAACGGATTAATACTTTGATATCAAAGATACCAAGTAGAACAAACAAAAACATCAGCAATGGTAGTTACTTTCTCTCTTATTACAGTTTTAACATCAGCTCACCGGTGATGGATTTCTTGTTTAGTTCAGGTGTTAAGTTCTTTAAGGCTAATGTTTCTTTTAATCTTAGCCACTGCTCATTTTCAGCCTTTCCGATAATTTGGAACTGTTCAATTTCTACATTCACGCATTCTTCATGTCAGAAAATGTTTGAGAATTCTGCATATCTTAACACACTATGTTCTTTAACTCGATCACTAAGCCTCCTCACCGTCGACCCTATATACGCACTATTAGAAACAGAGCACTGATATCTGTAGATGACATGTGATCGGTCCGCTTTGCAAATTCTGTCTTTGAATACGAAATCGTTCCTTATTCTGTATACTGGTTTAAGTACCACACATAATTCAACTTGTGGGTACATATTACAAAGGAAGTTCTTTATATTTTTCTTGATTTTCAAAGTATGTGTTCCAGTAAATATTAGTGTCATATACACACAATCTTTTTTGGAACATTATCTTTCTCTTCCTTAGGTGGCCGCTTTGTTGATATAATCGTTGATAACTAGTGTTAAAACTTTTACTGGGAAGTCATTCAAACACAAATAATTTTTGATGTTTTCCACTTCATTTTTAAACAGTTCAATAATACTACATAGTTTATGAGCACTATTATAGTTAAAGTACAACCCCCCGTAAATGTAGGTTTATGATAAATTCCGATTTCAAATTTATCATCTTTTTTAACTAGTGTCTAAAGAGGGTAGCATACAATCTCTTTTTTTTTCTGCCTTGAATTTAATGTTATTCTGCTGTTTATTCAGATAATTAAAAAAATTTATCTACTTGTTCTTCACTTTCAAATACCGTAAACGTGTCGTCCACATATATTTCATACATTATCGGTTTAATTTACTTTGGACTTCTTCTAACCATTTCTTTTCCTTCAAACACATAAATACATTAGCCAATATGGGAGCCAAACAGGAACCCATACTAATTCCATCTTTCTGATCATAAACCTTGCCATTAAACAAAAAAAATGTGATTCTTTTGTAGCTGTAACCATTAATTCATGGAATATCTCTTTCCGTTATCCCATAAAACTACCCCCTTTCTCATATAATAAGGTTTTACATACCTCAATGGTGTCATCTAATGGCATGATAGCAAATAATGATTCTACATCCCTATCTAAATTCAAATCCTTAATATTGTCTACAAATTCAAAGCTATCTTTCTGAGTATATTCATTATTAATAAATTCTTTTAAACCTTTACTTAAAAAATTTGCTAATTTGTGATTATAGCAACCAATGTTAGATACAATATGTCTCATTGGACAATTGTATTTATGAATTTTTGGCAATCCATACAATATACCCGCATGCGAGCCACTAGGTCTTATTTCTTTATAAAATATCTTCTGTTATTATGTTTTCTTTTTTCAGTTTTAATAAGTATCTAATCAACTTATTTTCTCTGGTTTTGGCGAAATCTTTTTTAAGGATTTTAAATTTATTTTTGTCCTTAATAATTTCATCAACCTTGTTGTTATAGTCTTTCTTATCTATAATGACTACTTTGCTACCTTTATCAGGCTTCGTAATCACCATCTCTTTGTTCTTACTTAACTTTATCAAGGCTTGATTTTCTAGCCAACTAATATTCCATGGTTTAGAATTCAAGTTGTAACTTCGTAAACCATTTAAACCTATACTAGTAATATGTGTACACACATTATCAAAATTAATTTGGGCAGATGAATTAACCTTACAACACTTTAGATCCTTTAATAAGAGTTCAAATCCTAATCCTCTAGATAATACTTTCTTTTCAATATCATTGAAGCAATAATTTGATAAAAGTATTATCACATCATCAGGATTACTCGAAAAGGATTTACTAATTTGGTTTTCTTCAAGCTTAAACATTTTTTATTCTGTGCTAATCTTATTATTCAAACAAAAGAAGTCAACGTTGCTAATTAACTTTTTAAGTTGTAATTTATCTTCAATTATTATATTTTCAAGCGTTTTAAATGTCTTCTCCTTATATTTAATTTCACTTCCTAAAAACCTTTTCTGAGTTTCTTTATATTGTTTTAATTCTTTGAACCTAAAATTAGCAGTATTAAAATTTAAATATTTTGGTATTTATCCATAAACCTTAAATTTATTCAAAAAGTTACAACGTAATTTATTTTTATTTAATTTGATACGTCTTTTTCAAGTTTTCTATACTTTTTTAACACTTCCTTATTATACCTTTTCTGTATAATTTCAATAGTAGATTTGTTTTCCGGAAATCTTAAATGTGATATAAATCTGAGTACTCACCAAATAACAAAAAACATTCTATATTGAATAAAGTTACTGCCTATCCAAGTTACCTATTATCTAAATGCTTTTTTACAAATACCAAGATTAACCATTTATGACATCCTTAAGTATTTTATAACTAATTTAAAAGAATAATCTCAATAAAAAAAAAAACATTAATCACATGAATGTTCAAGGTGACATATGTACAACATCTCTCCGATTTTAGTCATATCTTCAAAATATGAAAACCACTAAACTTCTAAAGTAACAAAACAATCCCTATCCGAAGTAAGTTTCAATTTAGAGTTACAATTTTGAGTGGAAAGCAGGATCGCCAAATGGTACGTTCCTGGTCCACTAAAAAAATTATCCAATCAGAATGCAAAATAAGTAAGTTAATTAAGTACTTTGACCTAATGATTTTCACTACCAAAGTACATCTCAACCTAAACCAAATCAGATTTTCTTTTGACAAATACACCATAAACAATGAGCAAACTAAAAACCGAACCTCCCCCTCCTTATAAGACAATCACATGAAAACATTTAGAACCTACAATTATCGGAAAGGCTGAAATTGAGCAGTGGCTAAGATTAAAAGAAACATTAGCCATAAAGAAATTAGCACCTGAACTAAACAAGAAATCCAGCTGATGTTAAAAGTGTGATAAGAGAGAAAAAAATTCACGTGTTTGAAATTACCATGTGTTAGTTATTTAAATTGTAGTTACACAATGATTCCACTGATAAAGATTTATACATGAATCTGCAGCATGTCTGGCAGAACCGAGGTGCGTCGGATGTGGTGGAGATCATCACGCAACACAGTGCACTAAAGAAATTACGGGGAAAATCACACAGCGAACTATAAAGGCTGTGAGAAATACAAACAAATAAAACAACGTATACACGACATTAAAAACCCAACAGAAAAGAGTACTGGAAAAAAAACACCATCACCCAACAAACAAAGCACCTTCTACTTCCAACACCAAAAACAAAATACAGTAACATATGCATAAACACTTAAAACAGCAACTAAACAACAACAACCAATCCAAACCACAAATAATAAACTACAAGTAGATCAACAAACAACTGAATCACAAACAAACAATGATACAAAAACAGAAACAAATAAAAACGAAATATCCACATATTCATGGAAATCATCAAAAACATTTTCACAGATTTCATCAAAGAATATTCACAACCAACACAAACCAAAGATTGCATAGAACTAATTATACAAATAACCAACACAACACACCATACATACCACAGATAATCCAATCAATCACAGGATCCCTACTCACATAAAATCCACAGTTTTACATATCAATATCCAAGGTGTACTTGCTTCCAAGAAACATGAGATTGAAGATATTACAAGCATAGTTAAACCTGATATGTGTAATAAGTGAAACCTGTATATATCAGAACCATAGATTCAGAATAAAAGGGTATTTAACAATACGAAAAGATAGGATAAAGAACACAGACCAAAACAAAGGAATCCTACTACTGTATAAAACCGATCTTACTGTAAGAGATTTGTTTTTGTTTGTTTTTG